CATTTTTTAATTTGATTTTTATATTGCTAGCAATCGAAACTTTTTCAATTTATTGCAATTTTTTGCTTTACTTAAATCTTTTAATTCATAGCTTTTTTCAGCTTTACTTTTTTTGGTACAAAAACTAAAATAATGATGTACAATTATGAAATTGAATAAAATATTATTATAACATTTGTTACAAAACAGCATCTAGAAACACCAAACATAGTCTTAAGCACCTTTTAGGTATTAATGAATGTATATTTTTCTTGTTTCATAAAGATTGGTCCCTTAGTCTCATTGGAGACAGCAATAACAAATTGTGACAAAATCTGTGGGCATAAAAGTGTTATTATTTTTTCGGCACTATAATATTTTTAGTTATTTTTATACAAAATAGAATTATCAATTAAGCAATTTTTAACTCATTGGCTATCATTAACTGTAGAGACAAATAGAACCATCAGTAGACATGACCATGGAATGTTTAATCATCGTTTTTATAACTTATTGTAATTCATAAAAAAAATTTTTTTTAGCTTCTAGAGATTCTAGAAGGTACTTTAGAACAAGGGGTCGGATAAGTTCATGAGTTTGTCCAAATGTACTGAATAAACCGATAATATCAGCTAAATTTAAATTTGGATACACCTATATTTATAATTTTATTTTACATACTCTAATGACTAACAGGCAATAGCCTATCAATTTATTATTTATCTTGGATAGTGGAGTGCACCGAACTAATACAAATGTACTTCTACATATTTGTTTTAGAATAAACAATTATTTAGGTAGCTATTTATCACAGTTTTAAGAACTTATATGTTGAAAAGTTAATATGTATTTTATTGTAAGTTAATTGACGGGAATCAATATATTTTTTTAATTTAGATATTTAATGAGTAATTCTTAGAGTGATCCAATAACTGAAGAAATTTTTATGGAGTTCATTAATGTTGAATCTACTACAGGATTAAATTTAACAAATGTTCTATTAGAAATATTGAAAAACACAACATTGATATAAATAACTGCCGAGGGCAGTGCTACGATAACGGCGCCAACATGAAGGGCCAATATAAAGGCGTACAAGCACAAATTAAAACTTTAAATTCCCGAGCATATTTTACCCCATACGCTGCACATAATTTAAATTTACTACTTGAAGATTTGCCAAAAGTTCAACTAAAGCTACCTCATTTTTTGGTGTAGTTCAGAGAATTTATTTTTTATTTTCGTCATCTACTGGCCGCTAGGATATTTTAAAAAAATATTGTGATCTATATACTTTGAAACCACTATCAGAAGCTCCTTAGCTGGTTTTAATATACTTATGTTTTTAGAAATATCAATGAAACTTCAACGAATATCGGATGATAATATGTCTTCAGTGCGGTATTTGTTCAAAAGATACGTCGTGCGAGAGCCCGTATACTTTTTAAATTCATAAATTGTATGGGTCGTGGATTCTAAAAACAATACGATAAATACCGTACCTTTGCTGATGTATCTTAAAAACTTTTCAACTTTTCATTGCAATTTTTTAAGCTATTTTATTGTGCTATCAAATAACATACATAATTAAACCAGAAATAAACATGTTATTTTTATTAAATTCAAAAAATGTCCTAAATGCTGTACATTTGTTTACAATATGCGCTGTTACTAAGAGTTTTACTTACAGTCGTTGGTCACCTCAGCTGTAAATAAATAATTAGTTTTAACAATAAACAAATGTTTTCATAATATTATATATTAATTCTACAATGGCAGTAAATAAACATTATATGCTATATATACATTATCTCTATATATAAAGGAAATTTAATTTAGCAATAAAGAGCCGAACCTATTTGAGTTATCGAATTGAAATTTTGAGGATGGATTAATATTATAATGTCAAGTTCCACTAAGAAAGGATTTTTCAAAATTTTGATTTTAAAGGGTTGAAATCGTCAAAAATTAATTGTTTACGTACAAATTGTATATCTATATACATATTTTACAACATGGCGTTGAATCCACAGGTGGATTGTCAACCAGATTTTCTGCAGTACATTGTCTGCGATCCGACGATTTTCATTAAAAAAAAATTATGGAGATTCCCAAGTTACATATTATATTGTAATACATATGTGCGAAGCATGTCCATAAACCCGGGCAGCACTGTTTTTCTTTATCTTTTTTGTTCACTCGTTCCCGCTCCTAGTCGCCGAATCACGTTTTTCTGACGGTTGGCACTTGTGGTCGCCCCTTCCTGCGTGTTAGACAGGCATTTATTTCACGCGAAGCCGCGCAGGCACACGGCGTTCATTGCTGACCCACTCTCTTTAGCATCGTCCCGCTCCGCACTACGACGTCGCACACCGAACCATACGAACAGGTAACGTTTACTACATTTATGTTTTACTTAATAGTTCAATAATATTATACATAATAACTATTGTTAACTGCTCAGTGCTCAATCTTATGACTGTCTTGTATTGAACAGCATCGCCGCGGCGTTCACGTCTCTCTCAAAAAAAAAAACCATGGGAAACACGTGCACTGCATCACTTTTACAACGACCACCATGTCGGATGATCAGCAAATTGCTATCCCGGTGAACCGTACCGACGACTGCCATGCCGAACAGCCGCCAAAGGACGACGCCGCAGCCGCTGAAGGACGACGCGTCCTGCCCCATACCGCCGCCGAATTACGAAACCAAAATGTTGGCAGAGAAAGATGACGCCGGCAAACTACGATGCCATCTTCGCACCGGTGCCAAACACTGACGATGGTCGCACATTGCCGCCAAAGGCAGACGCCAGCTCCGCACCTCCACCGATGGACGACATTGCACCCCCAGCCCGTCTATCACCGTTGCCTTTGGACGAAACAGTCCTCATTAAGGCCAACAATGGTTTTGAAAACGCTGACAGGTACGACGATGTTTAGTAAAATATAATAATAATAAGTAATCATTTTTGGCGCGTAGCGTGTTCATGTTTATTATCATTATTGTGTAATATGTTGGTAGTAGGTTGTGATGGGTGATTATACACTGGATTGAGCTATGGTTTAAAATCTTGAAGCATAGCTGTTCGTGCCCGAAGTCATCACTGCGCATGAGCAAAGTATATGGTCTATGCATTCGGTACCTAATCGTCCCAATCACTATAACACATTATTGTTCCTTCCCCATCCCGCGCAATCTATTTCATTTCTTATGCATGCGCAATAAGTACTTCGGGCATGAACAGGTCTGCTTCAAACACGGACTACGAGTGATATACGCAATAGCTCTATCCAGTGTATATGATCTAAAAAGGCACCATAAATTTATTACATTTCATTACCAAACCAAAATAAAATTTTGAATTAAATGGCAAATGGAAGCTTTATACTTATACTTTAGCTTTATACTATATACTCAGTGTTGGGAAATATCTAGATAAGTAGAATAGTAGATACTAATTGTTTATCTTTTATCTAATACGGATAATTTTCAGATTGATTATATTTATCTTCATATTGATAAAATTCTAGTTATCTATGTGTATCTATCTTTATAATTTCCTTTTAATAGGCAAAAAAAAAAATTTGAAAATTTGTATTTAGTATTCATCAAGTATTTATTTTATTTACAATTTACATCTTATTTTTTATTTATTTTTAAAATCTCTTAACTGAGTATAAAAAAATCTAAAATGATTCCGACATTTATTCCTTTTTTTTCAAAATAATAAAATATGTAAGCTGTTTTCTATGATTAAGACAGACAATAACGTCAATAACGTTTCAAGTTATAAAGGTGTTTAATGTTTATTTAAAAAATAAACCATTTTATTTTATGTTTTTTTTTTTAATATGCTTCAAATTACGTATTATCTAATATATTTCTATAAAAAAATGTATTAATTTGTATCTTTATCTAGATACAGTTTAATACAACTGTATGTATTAAGTATACTATAATACTATAATAGAAGTATATATAATGTATATTATTATATATACATATAAGTTATAAGTATATTATAGTTATTTTCTCTTTATATAGATAAATATTAAATGAATACAATTATCTATTCCGAACTCTGCTGAGTAATGTCAAAACAAAATAAGTAATAACTAATAACCAATTTAATATTATTCAAATTTTAATCGTGTGAAGAAATATTTGATGATTTTCTTCCCATCACTTTAATGGATCTGCTGTTGGTTCAATGTTTTTTAGCTTTAAGTAATTTTCTATCTAAACAATTAAAATAATAGTAAAATTATTAGAGTAAGAACTAACAACATTTAATAAACAATAATTATTATTTATCAGTTTTTTGTAATGTATTATAATATTGTAATACATTATACTATTATTAATAGAAATTTAAATGTCATACTTCAATTGCTTCTTCATTTATTGAAGTTACTATAGTAGACTCTTTTGATATTAATTTATATTATATTATATAATTATTTATTATTAATGCTGATGAAGAAGGTATGTCCCAAAGTGAATAGTTGGAATTTTCAAGTTCTTTAGTTTATAACTCATCTGAGGTGCTTGGTTGTGATAATATCTCATAATTGTATCTATGTTTTTCTAGTTCTGATGTAATGTATGACTTTGCTTGTAATAATTCATTCTCATTTAACATAAGTCCTTTAAATCTTGGATCTATCAACGTAGCTATAATGTAGATTTGATTTTCTTTATATATAACAAATCGTTTACACATGGATCTTAATACATTTACACCAAAGCATGTTCCAGACTTTTGTGTCGTACTTTTCAAAAATAAATTAATTTAGCCTCAATTGTATAAATGATTGATAGTAGGTACCATAGCTAATGTAAGTGTATCTTCTAGACTTAGTTCTTTTGTTGCTTCAAATACGGGCTTGAGAAGAGTAACATAAAATACGATCATATTCCAATCTCTCACAAACAATAATTGTCCTTTTTGTAATTTTGGGTAAGTCAATTAAAATTGCATCTTTCTATTCTAACATACTTTGTAGCATCAAATATATACTATTCCATCGAGTGGTGACCATTTGTATAAGTTTATGGGTGCTAAATTTAACATTTTTTGGGTATCTGCTAATCGTTCAGATGCGATATTGATATGATTGTAATGCATTACAATTGCATTACATCGTTTCAACAGGTTAGTCATGTTACTTTCTTTTACAGCATCATCAATTACCAACTGAAGAGTATGTGCTGCACATGAAATGTGTTCAGTTACATACATTTTGATTAAGGGCACTGGATATATTTCTAGCATTATCATTTATCAGTAACAAAAAAAATGGAGATATTTGAGCTACTATTTTCAATTTCAATATTCCAATTTGCAACCATATTTTTAATTTTATTATATATGGCATTACCTGTATGCTCTCCTGGAAAGTGGGAATAACCAAGATTTTTATTTTTGAGTTTGAATTTGTTCGTTAGGTAATGGCAAGTTAGGACAATGTAAGACTGCTGCGCTTGATTTGACCAAAGTTCAAATGTAAAATAAATCGATAATACATTTTTTAAATCGATTTTAATTTCAGTTATTAACAATTTTTTTTTGTTTCCTTACATCTCTGGTATTAGTTTTTGAGATACTAACTTACGACCTGGTAAAACATATCTATCCTCTGCAGCAGCCATCACTCCCTTAAATCCATGATCTTCTACAATTGAAAAAGGTTGGTAATCTAAAGCAATTATTTCTACAATTCTTTCTGTTATCAACTTTGCTTTCTTATTACTAGCTGAGAGTTTTTCAGATTTTGACATTGATTTCATGATATCTCGTTGTTGGGATGTATCTTTATTCTTTCTTTTTTGTTATTTATTTCAATAGTATGTTATTCATTCTGATAATCTTTAACGTTTGTGGGATGTTGAGTTTTTAAATACCTTGTCATTGTAGTTAAAGTTGAGTTTGGTGTTTTTCAATTTTTGTTACAAGAATTACATTTGGATATTTTCTTAAAATAATTGTAAATTTGTCTCTATTTTCAATAGTTTGTTCAGTTTGTTGTTCAGATATTTTTCTTGGTTCATTTTCATCTTCATCTTCCATAGAACTGTTTTATTCAGAATAATTTGTCTGAATATATTCCAACATTGACTCACTTGCAATTCTAATATATAAATCAAATATATAAGTAACTGCCAATTGGAAATAACTGATTAATTAATAATATATTCAAACTTCAAACAGTACAAACACTCCAAGCAAGAAAATTGACTAGACAACTGCAGGGTTAGGAACATCCAAGCCAATTAATAATAATATATAAGAAAAATGATGAAAATTATAATCAATAATTAATTTGAATTTGAAAGCAACAATATAAATCATTGAATTCAAAAAACTATTTTGAGTAAACTTGATTTAATATTAAACAAAGTTTTTTCAAAATATTATTCCAGTCCCCAGATGTATGTTTAATATTTATATATGTATTATAATTATTAATTATTGTGTATTTGTATACTTATAATATAACTTTAAACAAGCAAACACATAAAATAAATTATTAACTAATAAAATTATTAAAATATTAAAAATATAAATTTAATTAATTAATAATAATAATAATGCATGCAAAATAGTAAAATAATTTAATTAAAATGTATTTAGAAAATTATATAAATATTCTTTATCTAATAATGAACAAATACTCATTTAAAGTTGAAAATTGAAATCTACTAGTTATTACCAAGGCTAAGATTTGTATGCAATAAAAAATTGTAAAATATGCATTTTATTTACCAAAATATGTATCTTAATTTGTACAAGATAAACACAAGAATATAGTTATAAAAAAATATTTATTTATTGAAATACATCAGTGGTTGGCTATTTGTCTTAATACGAGTATAATATAGTTGAGAAATAAAAGAAAATAATTTAGAAATAAAATTTATAATTCACATTCACTACGTGTGTTACATGCTATGACCACATATTTTTTTTAATTTTCAAAAATGAATGATCTTTTTTTGTCAAACTTTTCAATCTTTAATCTCATACCTATTGTACCAAAAATTATATTTATAAAAATAAAATTTGTGTTTGACAAAAAAACCAAGTTTTATACTTGAATCAACAGAACTAGAATTAAATACTAAATATTAATTACGAAATATAATTATAAAACATGCATTTTTCGCATTCTTACTATCGAAATATGCAATAATATTCATTTTATTCAATATTTGCATTAATATGCATTTTTCCAAAATATGCAACAACAATAACAAAAAAATAAAAACATCACCATTTATCTCTTCATGACAATGAGATGATTTGTGAACATTACTGACAAAATCAATAATCAGAAGTTGCAAAAAAAACATGCTGTTGCATACAAATTCTAGCCCTGGTATTACTGTCTATAATTTAGTATTTAGTATTTACTATAAAAAAATAACAAATAATGATTAATGATAAAGTAACTTGATTTTATACCTATGGATATTTAATATTTATTATTTTATTTTAAAATAAATGTTTATATTTTTATTATGTAAGTTGTAAGTGCTACATTTACAGTCCAAGTAGTTTACAATTTATAATTTTAATAATTTTAAATTTAATTTAATAAAAATTTTATCGGCTACTTTTTCTCCAGGGACATTTTTACTGTTATGCGTCCAAACCTCCACTGACTACTGGTCTCATTTCTGAAACATTTTTAGTATTTACTTAGTAACTTATAATTGAATTCAAGTATAAAACACTTTTTATAGCAACGAGGTTCGCTTGGCAGTTTGATATTTACAATACTGCTCTCCTGTCCGGATTAAAAATAATTTTAGTGATTAATTCTAAACAATGAATTCGATATTGTGTTCACATACTTGCTACTTGCTAATCGCATCAAATAAGTATGTAAGCTTAATCGATATTAAATTGTTGAATCCAAA